TTCTCTCTCATATAGTTCTTTTAAGTATAAGATAAACCGACTAACAATTGAGCGGGAGAACTGTCTCTTTAATATGTAAGGATTTTAGGTATAAGGAGATAATTTTGCTAATAGTTGAACATGAGAATTTTCTCTCTCATGTAGTCCTTTTAGATATTAGAAGACGACTAACAATTGAGCAAGATAATTTCTCTCTCATATGTATTGCTCTTAACATAAGAAGCTAAGAAGATAAGTTTGCTAACAATCGAGTGAGAGAAATTTCTCTCATATGTAATTCTTTTTAAGTATAAGATAATGCGGCTAACAATTGAGCATATAAATTTTCGCTCCCATTTGTAATTAATCTTTTCGATATCATACTATCCGACTAACAATTCAAAGAGATAATTTTCTCTCATATGCAGTGTTTTTTATATAACAACATAAACTTGCTAATTATTGAGCGGAAGAATTTTCTCACAGATGTAGTGCTTTTAGGTATTGGAAAACAAGCTTGCTAACAATTGAGTAGAGAAATTTTCATATATGTTGTTCTTTAAGTATAATATAAGCTGGATAACAATTAAGCAGTAAAAATTTCTCTCTCATACATAATGTTTTTAGGTATAAGATAAACTGGCTAAGAATTGAGCAGTATAATTTTCTCTCTCTTATGTTAGCACTAATTTAACTGATGAGTAGCAAGTTCTTATTTAACTAATATGAAGTACTCGTTAATTTTAATATTTATTGTATTCACTTAAACTTTATGTCAATCACTTATTGTACTCAATTTTTTAGAATAATATTTAATTTCAAAATTAATTTAATCATGAAAATTAATAAGTTGCAAATTCAAATATGTGTTGTCAATTAATTTTTCCTAATATACTCTTTATTGAATATTTATTGTATGAGTTATACTTTATGGTATTAGATTATTGTACTATTATTTTTCGAAAATGCTGAATCCTACAAAGTTGTTTTTATTTTAATATTCAATTAGATCATAAGTAAAACTATATGCTCGGACTGCTATTTCCCGTGCGTATGCACGGATACTATACTAGTTAGCTATTAAAAATGAACTAATGGTTCTATATCGGTTTCTTGGCAACATACGTATAAGAAATCGAGAACCGAAACGATAGTATATATTAAGAACCGAACCGATAAGTTTTTAAGAAAAAAAAAATAGGAACTGAACTGAACCGTTTTATATCGGTTCGGTTCCGGTCATTTTTCCGATTCTCGATTCCAAAATCTTAGGCCTGGATAAAGCCGAGTGTGAGTGACTGAGTGAACTCTATAAGAAATAAGAAGTAAAAAACTCATGTGAGCAAGAGAAAAATAATCAAAGGCAAGTATGATACCTCAAGTGCATTATCAATCTAGAAATTAATCATAACCACTCAAATACTTAGGACAATCCTCATAGGTTTAGAACTTAATTTATTCAGATCCCGAGTAAAAGTCGTTGCTTCTGTCCAACAACGCATGTGCAACCCTACCCAAGACTACTTACTTGTCTCCCAACAGACATGTGTTTAATCATATTTCATGGGGAACCTCATCTCTTATCATTATCTACTTCAGAGGCGACTGATACCGACTACAGTGACCCACGACTCAATGCCAATGAACATTCATTGATCACCATGTCATGTCTAGATACTCCGTCTCCAAATGTTTTAAGATTTCTAGGATACAGACACATTTTAGAGTCAATTGCTGGTCTTTATGACCTGCGAGAACTTCCATAGGCTCATCTACTATAAATGTAAACCAATGATTGGAAGAAAGTCTTGAAGTAGCAACATCAATTTCAACTACTTGTTCAGACCATCACTTTAGAGTTCATCTCTGCATTTAGTGATGATAACGGACGCTTATGCGACCTTGGGGGCTACAATTTTCATATGATGATTCTTTTAATCATGCCGCAACGACCAGAGTGTCATCTACTGTAGATGCTTCATGATGATTGGTTGGAAATCTTGTTATAACCGCAATGCTTATATTATTATATACATGTCATACATCAATGTTTTCATTGTATTGATAATGTGACAATGGAACACCACAATGTATCCACTTTTTTGTTGTAAGAATAAAAGGATGAATAAAGGCATGACGTCCCAATTTATCAGATCGTCGTCATGAGGGGGGGAGTAGTCCAAGTGCTTACAAAGTTTCAAAAATCATTCTCGGACACTCCTCTCCTCCAACACGTAAATTGACGGCTCACTACTCTCTCAAATTCATCATAATAGCCAAATTATCTTTAAATCAAATAACCAGTTATACTCACAAACCATATATTTTTTCTGCTCTACATTTTGAAGGACACAAAAGTTTGATAACCAAATACACAAGATGAATCTCTTGTGCGCCTGGAACTCTTTCGAAAGGCAAGGACTACATGCAGGAATTTGAAGATCCCTCAACCTCCAACATCAAAAAACAAAGTGCCAGAAGACATCAAAAGGGGAGATCATAAGAATTTCTTTAAAATGCCTTTCCAAGAAAACAAAGGAAGTTAAACTGCACTGAAGATCAAGACAAAAGAGAAGCAACTCAACCAATAATCTCATCTAATCACTCCTCTACATTGTCTGATTTCAACACAAAGACAAGGATACACGCGCTTGCAGTGTTGATTGAACACCAAGGTGGAGAATGTTAGAGAATTTTTATGGTGTTCAATCATGTTATTTACCTTTGTATTTGTGTTATTATTAGATTAGCTATTGTATATGTGATGCTCATGTATTTAGGCTCATTTACTATTGTGTAATATGTATGTTAGCATCGTTACATATAAAAGGATAGCTAACTTAAGTAAACTCTAAGAATCGTAGGCATAGCAACTAGGCATTCACGCACACATTAGGAGAGAAATAGAGAGCAACGCCTTTCAAACCCTGTACTGGAATTCTACATCAATTGAAATGGAGATCTATTTCTTCTCTATTTTGTTTATATTTCAGTTTGATTATTCGGAATCCATTTTAACAATGAGTTTGTGTACAAGCAGGGAAGAAACAGATCACAAAGAAGAAGAAAAAAGGATATAAAGAGAGAAAAAGAAGAAGAAAGTAATAGAAAAAGGTTCAATTGAGGGTTTTTCAAGTACATAGGTGTAATCGATTTTTTGTACATTGTAAAAGGGAATTTTATCAGTTCGGGACTTGAATTTTTTTTTATCAATCTAGAACCTGAAAGATGAAATATATCGATAGAGGATCCGAATGAAGAAAAACTATCAATCTAAGAACTAACATTTCATAGGATTTGATTTAATTATTTTTTTATTAATTACATTGCTAATATTTGATGATTTTTTCTTCACAAAAGTTTATTAGTTTAATAAAAATAAATAATGTTTAAATTTTTGAAAATAAAGAAAATAATACTCCCTCCGTCCCGAAAAGGTTCGCCAACTTTGACTTTCACGTGGATGAATAAAGTAAAAATTGTATGGTTGAAATTTGTGCAAAGGAGAGAGAATTAACTTTAGCCACATATTCCTTACTTTAAATGGAAATGACAAATCTGTTTGGGACATCCAAAAAAGGAAATTTGGCAAACCTTTTCGGGACGGAGGGAGTAAGATTTATGAAAACTCAGGTCCTGTATTGATAGTTTTCAATCAATGAAATCCTAGATTCATAGTTTCCATCATCCGGGTCTTATATCGATACATTTATCTTTCAGCTCCCGGATTGATAATTCTTCTATCTTTCAGGTCCCGGACTAATAAAATTCCATAGTAAAAGGGTGTAGAAATTGAGATACAAATAGGAGAGAAAAGCATTAAAAAGGATAACATCTCATCTCTAAGGATTCTTAAACCGATCAAAAGTTAACTAACAAAATGTAAATTAAACTTTAATCATAACCTCGAAGATAGAGTCTGAAACTCTAATTCTAAATTTGAAAAAATTCGGGTTTAATGCACCGAAACCCCCGTGATATGGAAATTAGGCGCATTAGCCCTCTGTGATTTAAAAAATGCGTCAAACCCCCTTGTGTTTTAATTAATGATGCATAAAATCCCTGATATGAACAAATTCAATTGTCAAATAAAAGAAAAATGATTAAATTTTTGTATGATTTAGAGATTTTGACATATTTACTTGTATATTCAATCAAAATATTAGGAAAAGTGGTTTCAAAATCATTAAATTTATTCATAAAAGAGGTTATGTCTATGATTAATTAAAACACAAGAAACTTTGATGCATTTTTTAAATCACAAAGAACTAATGCGCTGAATTTCTATATGACAAATTCAACGGAAAAATCATACTCCATATAAACTTTTACTCTCACAAAAGTGAAAACATTCCATCATAGTTCAATTTCTAAGCACTATTGCCATTGTTGCAATTATACACTTTTCAATTTCAATGATACAATGATTAGAGGTAATAGTATTGTCAGCGCACAATGCATTCATATTGATAAACTAACTACTACCCCCTTCTTATTTAAACTTCCAGGTTTGACACACAGTTTAAGATAATGAGTATTGTTTGGTGGAGAGTTGTGCAGAAGAGAGAGAAATGCGTAAGAATCGTTGTGAATCACAAATTCTTTACTAAAAATGGAAAGTAGAAACTTTAATCGGAACGAACGAAAAAAGGAAAGTTGGAAGTTTATTCAGGAAACGAGAGAATAATGTTTTCATTTTTGTTTGCCAGGTAGAGTTGAATTGATCAACTTTCCTTTCCCCCTAGCTAGCTACTAGGCACGCACCTGGTGTTTGAGTTGACCCGTCGCCACCCACGGGCACCATCCAGTCCATCCATCCATCTATCTGATGATCCATCGTCTTTTAGTAGTCCTTCCACTACCTGCCCTGCCTCTCATCATCATCATCATATGCGCGCTCGCCACCAAAGCTGACACCGCAGTCCCATCCGATCCTAATTCTGATCTTCCACCCAAACCCTAAACTCCAACTGAATCAAAGATAAACGCATACTCCAATCCGTATTGGTGAAGATCCAAAGAAAAGATGTACGTTGGCTGGGCAGGATCTGGATCCTCAAATGAGTAAGAAGAAGCCAGGAGTTACTATACTCTTCATAATATATTCCTAGCTTAGCTTCATCACTCCAGGTACGCGCGTCCCAGCAACTAATATTTTGTTTCCCAGGCCAGGCATTTACAGAGTATATTTAATATAACTATTATATATTGATATAATGAGCACTTCGTGTTTTACGTGTTTACAAAGTTTCATCCTAAAAATATCAAATTAAATCATCTTATCATCAGCGAACTGAAGGCACGAGAAGCTTATGCGGCTAGAACATAATACCTCTCCGCCCTCCGGGAACGAGAGAGTGGTGTGGTTTTTTAGAAAAATACAATCATGTGGTTGATGATGAGTCGATAAAGTGAGAATAAATTAGAGTTACGCAAATGCTAACAAAAAAATGAGACAATTATAGAGACGAAAGGAGTAAGCAAATTATAGGCGTTCTGGGATGGTTCTTGATATACGTATGATAAGAAAAATATGTGGGCTCATTGTTAAACTTTATGAAGTTGTGAGATTTACATTACATATAGACCCTGGACGCCTGGTAATACATAAATTGTATGGGCTGATTCCTTTGAAATTTATTAGGTTCTGCTTGGATTGATTGATTCCGTTAATTAATGGAAAAAAGAAAATTAGAGTATACTCCGTATATTATTAATAAAACAAAGACACAATTATATGAAAAACAGCTAAAATGACCCTTTACGGTAATTTCAGTCAACACAACTTGAAGCGCAATTTCAACCTTATTTTTTTTTATACAATTACGTTTTCTTATATTACACAATTTAGCGTGCGTAATGAAAAGTTACAAGTTAGGTGAAAAAGTTAACTAAGTTGTCTGGTAAACCAAAAAATAGGACCACTAAACAGGCTCATAGACCGATTTAAATCATTGTATAAAGTTTATTACTACTGAACAAGAAACAAGAAAAACCAAAGTTTTGTGGGATGAGTGTAGTGCTTAAATGTATCAAATACATATTCAAATTAATAATTAGCATATACTGTTTGCTTTTTGTTACTAGTATTTATTTTGGCCCATTAGATATTGCCAAATTAGTGTCAAGTGTGAAATAATAACAAAAAACTGCATTGTAAAGAGTTGTGCAAATTAAAGATATACAAATAAAAGTGACAAAGTTAAATTTTTATCAATTTATGGGTATCGTTTTGATTTAGCACAATTAGAAATAAAGTGATAGAGAAAAAGTAAAAGTAAGTTGTGGTTGAAATTTGAGTTTATTGTAAGACCAATTTTTGTGAAAAAGAAAAATATGACACTAATTTTCAAACAAATGAAAAAAATAATGAAATAGGTAAAATGTGATAAATGAAGTATGAGATTACATGCATATCACCTGTCCCAAAATATTTTGTAAAGTTTGTAGTATTTGGATCAAGCAATAATAAATTCAAATTATTTTACTGAATTTTACATATTCAGAACCCGTTTGGTGACTGTTTTTTTGACTTATCAACCATTTTTTTTTACCAAATACGTAACTTTTGATTTCACGCTCTAAATTGTGTAATAATAAGAAAAAGTGAGGTTGGAGTTATTTTTCTGACAATATTGGCTGAAGTTACTGCAGATGATCACTTTAACTATTTTTCATATAATTTTTTCTTATTTTTTTTAATAAAACATATTTTTAAATATAATTTTTTCATAAATCAACAGAATCAGTTAATCCATAATTTTCAAGCAGAACTTTATAAATTTCAATAGGTTCAGAGCCCGTTTGGCAGCACGAAAATCGTCTGTTTTGGCTGATTCTACTGAAATTTATGAAGTTCTGGCTGAAGTGGCTGCATTGGCTGATTCTGTTGATACAAGAAAAAAATATTTTTAAAATATATTTTATTAATAAATAAAGGAAAAATTATATGTAAAAATAGCTAAAATGATCATCTACAGTAACTTCAGCCAATACAGCCAGAAAAGTAACTCCAACCTTACTTTTTCGGCTTATTACACAATTCAGCGCGCGAAAGCAAAGTTTACGTGTTTGGTAAAAAAGTTGGCTGATAAGCCTGATAAGCCGAAAATGAGGGTTGCCAAACGGCCTCTCAGTTGATTCAGCCAATTTTAATGATACCAAATAGTTCTCAAAACTAGATTAAAACCTCTATAAAGTTGCAAATCTAAATTAAAATGTAATTAAGAATTGATATCATAATTAAGAGCCTGTGTGAATACGAAAATCAGCTGAATCGATTGATTCTGTCGAAATTTATGAAAATCTGGCTGAAATGGTTGATTCTGCTTATTTATGAAAAAATTATATTTAAAATATATTTTATTAATAAAATAAAGAAAAAAAATTATATGTAAAAATAGCTGAAATGATCATTTATAATAATTTCAGTCAACATAGTCAGAAAATAACTCGAACTTTACTTTTTTTATAATTATACTCCGTACATGCGTACAATTTTACGTGTGAAATCAAAAGTTACATATTTTAAAAAAATTGAATAATAACTTTGATAAATCAAAAAACACAGACTTACTAAGCGGGCCGTAAGTGAACAAAAATACAAAATGAAAGCATTTCACCTAAAAAGTCAATTTTAGAAATGTTATAAAAGTTCACCTAGCTATCTTTGACATTTTGTTTTCAATTATCATTGGATTTGTTTTACCAATTTACTCCGTATTAATTTGGCCATCTTTTTTCTGATAATTATCACAGCATAAAATCTCAGGTATGGATTCGGGTAATGATGGTAAAGTGGGCCTCCTGCAGCAGTGTTCATCGAGCGGCGGAGAGGAAGAAGAAGATGAGTACTACGGTGCAGCGGCAGCAGGGGGCGATGATCAGCCGACGACCCCAATCACGACGGCGACGACATTCGTGAACACAATTACCCAGCAGCAGCAGCAACAACACTTGCTATTGGTCTCGCCTTCATCATCATCCTCCACTTCGCTACAGCAGCTCCAGGGTCAGTTTCTGTCACAGTCACCGCCGGCTCTGTCTCTGTTCGATCCCCACGACGACGGCGACGACGAAGATGATGGAAATAACTTTCCCCAATCTCTCAATTCCCACTTTCATAATCATAACAATGACGCCGTGGGTGGTGGTCTTGTTTGGCCGCCGCCGCCGCCTTTGGGGTTGCTAAGATCCGATCAATCGCCGCCTCTGTTTGGTGGCGCGTCACATCATCACCAACACCAAGTGCTTGCTGAGATGGCCAATAATAATCACAATCCGAATTTTGTCACTCTGGGTCGTGGCGGGCCCGGTGATTTATCATCTCCGCCGCAGTCGCAGCCGGCGGCCAAGAAGAGCAACCCAAAGAAACGGAGCAGGGCTTCCAGGAGAGCGCCGACTACCGTACTCACTACCGACACCACCAATTTCAGGCAAATGGTCCAGGAATTCACCGGCATACCCGCCGGGCCGTTCTCCGGCAACACGGGAGGGCTTTATCCTCGCCGATTGGATCTATTTTCCGGCACGGCAAGGTTGTCGGCGTCTATGACAACACCGGGAGGCAGAGCAAGGAGAGAAGAAGGAATATCTCCGACCAACAACCCTTTGATGCGGCGGCCCTCCTCGTTATCACAACAGCAAAATGTTGGAATCGATTTAACGGCGGCGGCGGCGGCCTTCATGCGACGGAGGCGATCTTCTCCTTCCAACACAAATGTTGACGATGACGATGATGAGCTCAGGCAACCTCTAGGGCGGGAAATTAATGCGGGGGAAGAAGAAGACCAAATCGTTCTGGCATTCCAGCAGCCGCCCTTCTCTTACAGTAACCAATCCCCTCGTCTGCTCAATAAAAACCCAGCAGCTGGGAGCGGAGATCAGAACGACGATGAACGGGTTTTCGGGTCGATATCATCTCCTCCGGCGGCCGGAGACTAGGATAATTATTGGAGTTTTTATGTTTCCGGTGAGCATAGATACATGGTGGCCCACTGGCCCGGTGATCGTGCAATTATAGTGCCACGTAGTCTATGCTGCTGCAGTGGTTTTGATTTGACATGTCTTCTTCATTAACCATAGCTATTAAGCTTATTTTGATTCTTAATTGCAGCATGTTTGGAAAATGGTGTTTTAGTAAAAAAAAAGGAGTTATTTTGAGTTTGTCTAAAATGGATTTTGCATCCCGTTTTTAAAAATCTTTATTTTTGCACCCCAATTTCATATGAAAAGACCAAATTACCCTCGATAGTATTGAAGGCCAACAAATTGTTAACGGAGGGGCATTTTTGTATTTTCATATAGGATTGGTGTGCAAAAACAAAAATTTTTAAAAATGGGGTGCAAAGTCTAATTTAGATAATAATATGAGGTGCAAATTCAAATTACCCCCAAAAAATTCAAATGCAAATTCAAAGTAGTAGTTTGACTTTTTTAAGGGAAAAAATTGTTTATTTTTTTTCCACTCCAAAAATTTGTTTAATAAATAGCCCTTGAGTTATAGGTTTTTTCTTTTTACCGAATTGTTGAAATGAAAACGGTAGAAATATCAGAGTTTTGGGTTAGTGTTTTGAAAACAATCATTCTAATCATTGTTATGTTCAAACAATTAGATTATCAAACATCTTTTTGTAAATCATCTATTCATTACATTAGTCAAACTTGCTATTTGCTGATTGTATTTGCTATTAACAATTCATTAACAAAATTCACTATTCGTTAATCACTAAATGTCAAACACATCTTACATACATGTATTATTGGATATAATGCACCAACTCTCGTGATATGGAAATTCGGCGCATTAGTCCTATGTGATTTTAAAATGTGTCAAACTCTCTTGTGTTTTAATTAATTATGCGTAAAATCCCTTCTATGAATAAATTCAATCGTCAACTAAAAGAAAAGTGATTAACATTTTTGTATGATTTAGATATTTTGACATATTTACTTGCATATTCAATCATAATATTTGGAAAAGTGATTTCCAAATCGTTAAATTTATTCATAATAGGGATTCTGTGCATGATTAATTAAAACACAAGAGGATTTGACGCATTTTTGAAAACACAAGGGGCTAATGTGCTGAAATTTTATATCACGGGGGGTTTGGTGCATTAAACTCATGTATTATTAGTTGACAACAGTCGATAAATCATAGATGGAGATTGTTCTTTCCGCATTAGAGCCTTATTACACTATTTGTTTACAGCCTATTTAGATCGTCCAAAAAACTGTCAATACTCCGTAACATATACGTAAAACTCTAAAGTAATTAGTACAACTAGTTTATTAACCTAAAATGGCTAAAGTTGTTACGAGTTAACCCCATTTAGATCTTCAAATTATACCGTGGGATCGGCCCACCATGCGGATGGTGTACCGATCCCAATACGGTATCGTTTTGGGATAAAAAAGAGAGGAGAGAATGTGCACCCCTTCTGTTTCCCATTGCTTTGCGTTTTGTTAGAATAGGTCTCCATGTGTAGCGCCAAAGATAGCAAAGAAGGTAAGCATCTTCAACAAATTTCGATTGAGCAATTGACGACCAATTAGCTATTCCCATGGCTGAATCTGCCGTCTTCCAAGTCCGGCATGAATTTGAATGTCTTAATTAGCCTTAAGGTGATTCAAGGAGACTGTTTGGTGCCTTCCACCATCTCTCTGGCAGCCGCCTGCTATGCCGGAACGGAAATAGGTGTTCCTGAAATAGCCAAAGCTTCATCCACCACACACAACTTTGAATTGCCATAGATCCTTCAACTATAACCTTTCCATATTGAAACAAAGTATATTAAATAGTACATCAGGATGATTGCAATGAAAATTTTAGATCTTTCTCAACTTACATCTTGCACACACTCAAGTTACATCAGAATTTGCCTAAAATTACATATCTATTTGTGTAAGTTACATGTCAACTTTTCTCAGTAAGTTACATCCTGCTTACATGTGATTTCCATTTTCCATAATGCGAATTACACTAGAATATAATGCGAGTTACACAATACAACCGTAGACTATAATTAAGGTACACCCGGGTGTACCTATACACCCGGGTGTACCTATACACCCGGTATTTTTGTAATTCTCTTGAACTTTGAGTCTTCTTCTTCCATCCATATCTGCTAGACGCTCAACCTCCACCATTGATATCACCGCTCATCATTCACCAGCCACCTGCCATCGCTCCAAGCTTCATCATCAACATCAAACGACGTGCAGAGTTCTTCCATTGATGGAATCTGACCAAGAGCAAATTTCATCTTGCTGCAACCTGATTTGTTCTAGTCTCACATGGGCTGCCCAATCACTGGCGCTACGATCCGTTAGAATTCAGGCTTCTCCGGTCCGTCGCCGTTCTTCCATCTACGCTACTGCATAGATTCTAGATGACAACATTAATGATCTGTATAGACTAGATTCTGGTGAAATTGACATGACAGAACAATCCAACCCTTACAGTATCGCTCTGACATACCTGATGGAGTATATGGCCCGGGAACCCCCGGCCCACAGACTCCTACTGCTCCATCAAAGGCCCAACAGGCCCAACAGGCCCAAATCACAGCGCCCAGAGTACCAAGCAGTCCGCACAACGCACAGGGGTGCCTTCGGCCCCCTGGCCGAAGGCTCCAAATTATCACAGAGCAGGTTTCTCAAGCAAATTAGGAAACTGGGAGAAAACGGCGAAAACAGTAGCCCTCGGCACTGTGAGCCCTCGGCACCAGGGTGCCATCGGGTGGGAGAGCCCTCGGTTACTGCTCTATAGCCGAAGGCATCTCACTCGACAAGATATCTGCCTCACATGCGTACAGATCACCGTACCCCGCACAGACGTCCCATCCAACAGCCGCATTAAATGCGGCCACATGCGGCTGCCAGCGCCAACTAGTTAAGGTGACCCCTCGGCCAATGAGCGCTTGACACGTGTCCCTGCCCGACATTTATTGCTACTATAAATAGCACCCCTTTTCCCCATTTGTAACCAAGTGATAACACACTGAATACACACTCTCTCTACTTTTATTTACTTGCTCTGACTTCTCTCTAAGTTACTCCCCGTAATAACCCTTGGGATATATACCCCCGGGTAGACTATCCATCATTTGGTGCTCTCGTTGAGAGGTTGAACAATCGAGTAAGAAACCCTCCCCCTCGACCAAACACAAAACACTAGCCCTCTATCAAAATGGTGAGGACGACACGTGCCAACTCAAAGAACGTAGAAGACAAGAACCTGGCCCTCGGCGACGTCAACGCCCCCGAAGCCTCTCACAGGGCTCCCGAGGGCGGTGTCATCGCTGGGCTGGAACAGGCGCCTGTCGACCTACGCCTTCAGATCCAACAAAATGCCCCCGATGCCCGCCTCGGCATCGAGGCCAAGAAGAAAAACCGGAGCGATGACCAAGTCAGCCCTCCGGTTCTCACCATCGACGTGCAATCGGCGCTCTCCGCCTTCATCCAGACGTTCACCCAGAACCCGGGTGCCTTCGGCACCCTGGCTCCAGCTCACCCTCAGATCGGGGAAAACATCATACTTCCCCCTCTGCCACACCCCTTCGGAAATCCCACCCCTCGGGTGAGAAACGACGAAGGGGTGGTGGCCCAAGAAACATCCTCCCAGGAAGTTCAGTCCCGGGACCGCCATAATGACAACAGGGAAAGGCCCCGTACTTCCGCCCTCAACCGGCTCGGGGGAGGGCCAGACCGCCGAGGGGTCCAAGACCGCCTCGGGGGGAAAGCACTCCAAAGGCCCCAGGAAAGCGGGGGATCTATTTCGAGGGCAGACGAGGAGCGTCCCCCTCGGGACAAAGGCAAGGCACCCCTTCATGCCGATGATGCTCGGCACCAAATCAACCAGGCCCACTCAGCCCGGGTTCGTTCGCAGGGGGTGGAGACCCTCCCGAGGGACCCCCGGGACGAGATTATTGCGGCCCTCCAACGCCGGCTTGACGAGATGGAGTCCAACAAAGCTCACGCCACCACCTCCACCCCTCACTCAGACCTCAAATACGAGGCCATGATGGCCAAAATGGAGGAATTACAGAAGAAGGTGGCCGAGGGCTCCGGGGAACCCGTCATCCAGCTCCGGAATCGGACGCCATTTACCCCAAGGGTATTGGCGGCCCGGATCCCGGAAAAATACCGAGGGCAACACATAAAGCCCTACAGCGGGAAAACGGACCCCCAGGAACATTACAGCAAGTACCAGAACAGCATGATGATGGTGGGGGCGTCAGACGAATATTTGTGTCGTTGGTTCCTCTCCACCTTAGAGGGACCAGCATACGAATGGTTCAACAGGCTGCCCGAGGGCTGCATTGATTCATGGCAAGAACTCGCCCAACGATTCTTGACACAATTCGCCGGGAGGCGTCGCACAAGGAAGCACTTCTCCCACCTCCTAACAATACGCCAGAAGAAGGATGAGACCCTTCGGGATTTCCTGGAGCGCTGGAGGACGGAGGCCGACAAAGTCGACGGCGCTGATGACGGGACCCTCCTGGCCCTCCTACAAACCGTCCTCCGCACTGGCAACTTTTCAAGGAGCCTCATCATTGAACCCCCCCCCCCCCCCCCCGCGACTACATAAGGGCCTTGCAGCGGGGGGACCGGTATGCTGAGGCCGAGGAGGTGGAGAAGTATCACCAACATCCGGACCAGCAGCCCCCGAGGGCTGACAACAAGCATAACCGAGGGCCGGGGGCTCCTCCAAATCGCCCCAAGGCTTCGGGACCCCCTGATGACCGCCCTCGGCAAGCCCAAGCCAAGCCCGGGGGAGGTTATAAAGGCAACCCTAAGACTTGGGCCCAGCCCATTCTCCTGGACCGCCCTCGGACACCATTGACGCACCCCGTCAGCATCATCCTCGATTTTGCCGAGGAGAGGGGCCTCGTTGAGCGCGATTCTCGCGCACCCCCGGAGGTGCATGCTATCAACCCTCAGTTCCCCTACTGTCGCTTCCATCGGCACCAGGGGCACAGGACCGATGACTGCCATCAACTGAAGACGGCCATCGAGAGATTAATACAGGCAGGGCACCTGTCCCAGTTTGTCCAGAGCCCTCGGCAGGAGGGACCTTCTCATCAGGGACCTCCCCGAGGGCACCAT